GCGTGCGTGTTCATGTGCGTGTGTGCGTGTGTGTGCGTGAGCATGTGCGTACGCATGCGTGTGGAGTGGGGAGTGCTATGTAGGCCTATGTAAAGGGGAACGTTAGTCTAGTTATCTGAGAGTATCTCAACGATACTTTCTCGCATGAAAATTAGCACGTGCCTGCACATGTTAGCTGGTGTATTACACGATCGATTTTTTTATTAAGCGATCCAAAATTCACGAATATGGCATCCATCATAGAAAAAAGATTAGAGAAAAAAATAGTAATAGAGTAAGTATAAGTGTAAGAGTAAAAAATTACATCTGTGATCTGTTCTTATCTGAGAGGATAAATAATATGAATAACACAAGATTAGATTCCCACCTGCGTATTGACAGCAATGCTCGAGTCAGACAAAGACTACATAGGGTAGGAGTACCCTAGGGTACTGTACTATGGGAGTCAGGGGGGGAAAATTCTCTTTTTTTCACGGGAGCTGTTTTTCAAGTCTGTGGGAAAAAATATCTCTCATCAAAAATGTTACGGGAGCTATTTTGAGTCTCACGCGAGCGATTTCGGAGGTTTGAAGAGCGAATCGCTCATCGCTCCCGTGTATTTTTTACCCTGATGGGAGTACCCCCCCCCCAAGCCCAGCCTCTGGAGGTTGCCCCAACCGTCGCGGGCGCGCGCGCTCGCTCACCGAGGGACGACAGGCCGGCCGATCGCATCTGCCTCTTCATTGCGTGGCCCTCGAATCCCAGCATCCGATCGAGCTCCTCCGACCAATCCCAGAAGCCATCCTGCGTACGCGGGCGAACGTATTAATTAGATTAATTAGTTAATGAGATTATTCAGAGATGCTAAAGGGTGGTTCCAAAAAATCCTGAACTATTAAGTAGTGACCAATTAAAGCGGAGCGCGTCATGGCTGGGGGTCCAGAGGGCAGCACCGTCGGAAGCCCACTTAGAAAGCCCATCTGGAACACCTGGTGTAACGAATTTTTACCGTTGCAGAACGATCAGTCGTGCAAATCGAAAGCTCCCTAATGCTAAATTTAATGCGCTAATTCGCAATGATGAAAATCTGACTACTGTTATTTTGGGGTCCGATTTCTTTTCAGATTTTTCTTCTGGAAATTTTTAATTTGTTTAAAAATCCGGATTTCCGGTAAAATCCGGAAATGTAGCATCTCTGGATTAATGTAACATGCCCTATGACGTGCCCAATAGGTGGCGCCAACGACTTCACAGATGCGAGCGGAAAACTACAATGCGGCAGCTTGGACTGCAGTGGAATGAATTCCATATATCTTTTCCCCATAAATTGCAGTTATAACGTAGCAAACGTTGGTACTTTAGTCTTTACTTTGGAAATACAACACAGTTAATCGAGAGCGTGGCCGCTGCCACCAGGGGGCGCCTGACTCGAGGTGGCGCGCCCGCAGCACGAGGGGACGACCTTCGGGCCAAGCGGCAGGTGTTCCGTGAAATGCCGCTACCCACGCCCTCTGACGCACTTGCTATGCATACGATGCTTCAGCTATCAATCGTTACGCTATCAGCCATTCAGTGAAATGCCACCGCCCCCAAAATCCCTCGTGAAGTGGCTAATCGAATAAATGCCGCCCTCCAAAATCCCTCTTAAGTGGCTAATCGAAAAAACGCTACCACCCTCTGACATAGGATGTTCTGCGGCTGTTACAGAAAGTGCCGCCACCCCCGACATACCACGTTCTGTGGCCGTTTCATGCTATTCCCCCAACATATATCATTCTGTATTTATTCAATGAGATGCCACCACTCCCAAAAGTCTCGAGTTATTTGACCATTTAACGAGACGCCACCACTTCCCCCAAAAATCTGCAGCCTTTCCATAAGATGCCCCCCCCCCGATGTACCTCGGCCTGTGTTTATTTTCATACTACGTCTTTGTATAGATTTTTTTCTTCATGTTGAATAGCGCTGCTTTGCACTGTATTACTCGGAAATTTTATTATTTTAACTGCTCACCACTATAGTGCATCTATCAGATTTCATCTCCAAGAAAAAGACTGCCTTCAGTAGATGTATTTGCATTTGAATTTTCATGCAATAAAGGTTTAATAATAATAATAATAATAATAATAATAATAATAATAATAATAATTTAATAACCTCGTTCTGTAGCTCGAACAGTCGTCGCACGATGGCTGCATTTTTGAGGCTCACTCGCGGGTCTCCCGTCGCCACGGAAACGATGCGGAACCGAATGCCGGCGTCAGAGCGAAAGCCGGGTGCGAGGTCAGAGGTCACGCTAGAGGTCGCGCTAGGGGTCGCACTAGGGGTCCTGGTCAGCGCGGCGGGATAGACGAATCCACTCTCACTGATCAAGCCTACAACGGACAATATACGGGGAGAAAAACATTAGAAATGTTTGAGTATTCGCGCTTGAGATTATACGATAAATAAATCCGATAAATGACGAATGCCCGTTGATCATGATACTGTAGTAAATAAGATATAATTTTGATAATATTATATGTATACATATAATATATAATTGAGAACTGCAGTATTATGATAAAACGATGACGTCTAAAACGGACAATGCACGTGAAAAAAAAAGAAATAACGTACACGCAAGTCGGCGGCCATGCTTTTTTTCCCCAAGGACATTCAAAGACGCTGCGACTCGTGTTAGCAGAAAAACTTCAAACGCTAGGCAACGGGAGATGCCCGACGCCCGAGAACGAAAAACAAGTGGGCATCGATGTCGCGCACGCAAAAGTCGCCGGCACTTTCCTACCTGGTGCAGGAGGAGCTGGTGCACCGAAGGGTCGACCATCCGACGCCGCCGCTCCCTTCCTGCCGCCAAACATGACGCCGTGACATGACGCACGAGGAACGCCGGCGCCACCTGCCTGCGGCCACACCGGCGCTGTCGTCGCAGGTCCACCAGAGCCCCCTGGTGGGGGAGGCGGCGGCGGGGCACCGAAGAGTCTCCAAGAGGGGGCGCCACCGGCAACATGGTGCGTTGCACCGAGGCGCGAGCTAAAACCGAATGTGTGTTGACCTGCAGGTGGCGCCTCTGTGCCAAAGGTGAACCCCAACGTGCCTTTGCCTAGAGGAGGCAACGCTGCACCGAAGAGTCCACCGCCACCGCCGCCGCCGCCTGCTCCACCTATAGATGGCGTGGGAGTCGGCGCCGCAGCGGGCGACGCGGAATCTGCGCAGACGATGTCGCAGTCGTCGTCGGCGACGTCGGCTGCCTCCGCGCGGATCCGTTGCCGCGACGACGCCATCTTCTTCTTATGGTAGGTGTCCTTGCTTGCCGCACGTGTCACCTTCTGCTGTTGCTGTTGCTGCTGCTGCTGTTGCTGCTGCTGCTGCTGCTGCTGCTGCTGTTGCTGCTGCTCCTGCTGCTGCTTGTGCTGCTGCTGCTGTGGAGCCCTCCCCCTAACAAAGCCGAGCACCCCAATTGCATCGTGGTGCAGTTCCCTCGCGGCGAACGTCTCCGTGGTAACCGTCTCGTCGGCGACCGTCTCCACGGTGACCGTCTCCGCGGCAACGGACGAAGATGCTGCGGATAGCTGGAGCGGCGTCGGCGCGGCGACCGACGGGTAGTCGTCGAAGAATCCAAAGCCAACGTCGTCGTCTTCGTCCGAATCGCAAGACGCAGAGGCTGAGCGAGGCGGCGGCGGAGCGGTCGCCATGGCAACGGACAGACTGTCCGTCTCCTTCTCTCTCGCTCGGACCGGAGGAGAGTAGTCGCCGGAAATACCAAATCCCATGTCGTCGTCGGACGAGGAGGAGGCTGCAGCAGGTTTTCTCTCCGGGATCTCTCCTTCCGTCGCCCGGGAAAATTCCTTCTTCTTCTTCGCTGGGACGGGAGGAGAGTAATCGTCGATCAAACCACATCCCATGTCGTCGTCGTAGTCGGACGGGGAGAAGGAATCCTCGGAAGATTCAAATGTCTTCCTCTTGCTTCCGGCGGTAGCAGAGTCGTCACTGGACAAGTCAAATCCGGCGTCTTCTTCCCGTCCGTCCGATTCCGGGGATGCCAGCGCGTAGCCGGGGGAGGTCGGTGCGTAAGTCGGCGACGCTGACCTTTCCCGGCTCCTCTCCCTAGGGGGCACTGCTTCGGGTCCGCCGCCGCCGCCGCGCTGTACAGGCCACATGCGGCCATCGTGCCAGCGGTACTCAGGCTGCGATCGCCGTGACGACCAACAGATCGCGTCCGCGACGACGCGTTCCTCCTCCTGATCCTCCATCTCCTCCAGGTACCCATCCTCTTCATCCTCCATCTCCTCCTCATCCTCATCCTCTGTCTCCTCCTTCTCCTCATCCTCCTCATCCTCCTTTCTTCCATCCTCCTCATCCGCCTCATCCTCCGCCTCCTCCTCCTCCTCCTCTTCCTCCTCCTTCTCCTCTGTCATCGTCGCCTGACCTGCGTGGCGTGGGATGGGTGCAGCATGTGTGGTCCAGCCTTGCTCGGGTAGTAAGTCAAGCGGCGTGTCGCGTCGCAGCAGCTCGGCAATGCTGGGTGTGACATCACGCACGCCATCGTGCTCCTGTACACATGTGTACA